CCCCAAAACCCCAAAACCCCAAAACCCCAGGATGATGATTAATTTAAAAAAGCTAAGATAAAATAATATCAGTATAATATATTTAAAAATCAATTTATCATTAGAAAATCAAACAATATACATCATTCCCCATGAACTTTCAAAATATTAACCTACAATTTCCATAGATGGGAAATATCTTACCAAACAACTAGAACTTAAGCGAAAATTGTCAACAGCAATTTTACTAGAATCAAGTTTAATTAATGAATTGTTAGAATTAGATCACAAATCAATCTGCTCACTAAGTTATTTACCTCCAGAACAACATAAATAGAGTAACTCCTTAAATTGCTAGACCCCAACCCATTAATTAACAAACCTAGCAGCAATCCTTACTATAAAATTAAAATGTATATGGACAATCGCTTCAATACCAAAGTCCATTAAATATTGCAGGAGGGATGAGACTGAACAGTCAATAATCTAATCAAGTAACGTAGGAGAGATAAATCAACTTTTTAAACAACTTCCATAATTCTGCTTTTACATTCCACAACAAACCATAAGAATCGTCACTGTCTCATCAATATATGCAGTCTCAAATTAATGCTCTCTAACTACCCTCTTACTAGCAATATAACTGCGCCTTTGCAGATCAAACTCTGAAAAGCTAATCGCAGTCGTATCACATTTCATAGTAAAAAGAATGCTAATAAATTCCAACCTTATAAAATTACTCAATACGCAAGTAAACTGATCCCTTGAGTCTCGACCCTCAAGAGATCCTATAACAACAAATATTTAAATAGTAGATAAGCCAGTATAGGCAAACTGTAACTGAGCAAACTATGATTTAGCATTAAAACCTAGAAAATTATGGGGGTCATCTCAATTAATTGAGCGAGGACTTTAAATTAAATGATGATAATACTCTCGGTTAAGACTCCAACATGATTGAGTAACTTTTAGAACAGAAGAAAATGGAATTGGCAAAGTAGCTCATGGACCTCCCTGATTCTGATTAAATTGTTCTCTGGAGCAAGAATAAGATACAATATGCAAAGAGCAAAAGAGGATCAAGATTCAGAGGAGTTAGTAAGAACGGCAAAAAATGGTAAGTACAATTGCTTGGCAATATGAGAAAAAGATATATTGGCTCCATTAGTAGCGAAGACTAAGCTGCCAAAATATACGATCATTATGCTATAATAACTCATGGCTTAAGAGCTAAGACCAATTTCCATTACGACAAGAGATAAATTTAAGACATAATGGAGAGATTCAGAGAGAGTGATTTTTTAAACCCAGGAGCCAATATTCTGAGACAAACTCCATATTGCCCAAACTGATCATTATTTTTAATCAATTAAAATTGGGGCGTACTCGTCCCGCAGTGAATTTGTTTCACGAGTTAACTTAATTTGAATTAATTCTACTTCATTCATAATTATCCTATTACTTATTGATGATTTCTCAAAAATCAAGCACCATGTCTGAGATTCTGTGGTACTTTTTAAATTTCCATGTTTTTTCTAATAGGCTTTTTTAAAAATTTTCTCTCGCTATGCATTTTATTAATGTAGAGCCGAATATTAGGGGTGTGTTAATTAAGGCTATGAATAAAACAATATTGTTTTTGAGCGAGCTACAACAGCACATTTCAGGATGGTATCTGTTGTAAATGATTTATTTTTTTCTCATTCACACGGATTCTTCATTTAAAGGTAAATTCTAAAAAATTTCCACTGATTAACTAAAATGTATATAATTATTTGAGCTCAGATTTTTCCTAGATTTCTTTTTATCAATTTTATTCTATTAAATAACTTACTCACTAACCTTCACGGGGTTTTGGGGTTTTGGGGTTTTGGGG